CTCGTCCCAGTCATCCTGACTTGGCTTAATGTAGTGCCTCAGTAATTGTTGCACTACTCGATTCATTAGTTCCGCCTGTCCATTTGACTCAGGGTGGTTCCCTGACGTCATCTGCAGTTTGGTGCCCATCTGCTGGACTGTGTTTTGCCACAGTTCGCTTGTGAAACGTACATCTTGGTCTATGACAATAGACTTAGGTAAACCAAAGTCTCGAACCCAATTCTCCATGAATAGTCTGATGACATAGTCAGTTTTAGCAGTCTCTGACATAGCGATTAGTCTGGCATATTTGGAAAAACAGTCTACTATAACGAAGATGTGCCTTTTTTCAGACCTGCTGGTCACAAGAGTATCCATGAAGTCCATGTAGACGCTCTGACCAGGACCTTCAGGAATCGGCAAGGGCTTGATGAGCCCAATCGGAGCCTGAGTTCTAAGTTTGTCACGTTGATAGACCTGACAGGTTTCAACATATTTCTTGGCATCTTCCATCATAGAAGGCCACCAAAACTTTTGTACTAGGTTAGCTGATGTCTTTCTATAGCCAAAATGTCCAGTTGCATCATGACATTCTCCTAAAAATAAACTACGCAAAGACTCACTATTGGGAACACAAAGTCTTTTATTCCCTGCCTTTTCAAGAAACAGCAAGCCATCAACCATCGCAAATTCGTCAGAAGTTACTTTATCCTTCTCTTTGAACTTACGGATGATTTCAGACATAACTGAGTCTTGCTGATAGGCCTCCACCAAAGATCGAGTTAGATCATTAGATATGCCGAATTCAGTCACTAGCGCACCCAAGTAATCTGCCCGACGTGAAATCAGACCTTCTCTTTTATTTCAAAGCAACAAACCGCGGGTGATACATAGGCGAGCACCAGCTCCGATACCAGTGAAATCAGACTTTCTCTTTTGTTTCAAAGCAACAAACAGATGATGATATTCGAACAGCGCATACGAGCGCCCACACAAAACTCAGAGATTGCGAGCCAGCAAATACAGTTTGGATTCAGATACTGAAAAGATGGCTATGGTGACCTGCGCCAACTACAACATCAAATCCCTCCCGATCAACTGTAACCACCA